CAATATGCAACATTAGAAGTAAAACAAAACTAATGTATTGCTTATAATGTAACAAATAAAGCAGAAATAATAAAAATTGACAGTGAAGAATCATTCGAATTAGGATTTCCCCGCCGTCAAACATGCCAATATGTGTGAGCTCAAAATGAACTAAAATGTCATGGCTTAAACTGCGTAAAATTATTTTCGATGTTGACAAATTATGGATCAACTATCATACCAGATCAATAATTTACACAGTAAAAATAAGGAAAGTTCATAGTTTTTTGAAAAAACTTCTCAGATCTTTATTTGTCCGTTCTTTGCCATCTTCGTCAAACTCAAAACCCTCAAAGTCTAAGTTGGCATCACTGTGGCCATCAAACAAAATCCTTACAGTTTTGCCCTGAAGTTCGTCAATCTTGTCGCACACAATTTGGACTTTGCACTTTTAATTTATGTCTAATCACAATAAAGAGACAAAAAAAATAGGGGCGTTCTGCTACGCTGGCACATGATGCTTTTGTTTAAAGTCTGTCAATCATCTTTGACCTTTAAACATCTGCTTTACTGATTGGCTAAGAATGACATCACTACTAGTATTTCATCATAGAGGTCAATTCAACATTGCATTCTTATCAGACTAGACTCAAGGTTTGGTGGGTTGAATGTCTCACTATATGGATATTACAGTGAGCTTGAAAATAGGAAATTTTTTTTCTCCAATGACAAAGAATAATTTTCATGACAGAAATACAATAGCGGTGATGAAAGATGGTAAAAAAGTTGGCAGTCTTTGGCGTGGCGTGATTTCAACCACTCTCCCAGGTACGGGTTGCTACAATATTGCAACATTGGTTTTAATGACGCTAAATCTGAACTAGTACGACACTTGTTTCGAGGCTCTCCATATACTGTAAGATTTGCTTGAATCATTTTTAGGGAAGCACAATTCAAACAGCCCTTTTCAAAAAGACAAAAAGAAAACTACAGTTTCTGCTTTAATATACATTGCTGTTGACTTGCTTACTGTTATGATTTTGGTGAAAAATCTTGAAAATTGAATGTAAATTACGTGAACAGAAGTGAACACCTTCCTTTTAAACAGAACACGTAATTACCTATTTTGCTTTCACAGCTATTTCACGTTCACCCCTCGTTTTATGCAATCGACAATTATTTTTCAAGAATTTTTATCAGAATCCCAACAGACTGCAAGGAAGTTAACTTTAATTACAACGAAACAAAAGTAGGTTTGTGTTATTACCATAGTCCCCGTTCGAACTGTAGTGTAGAAAATAACAGTTTTGACTGTCAAAATATCTATTAGTGTAATATTATACATATGCACATCAATTTGTTTCATGATCGGATTCAAGCCAAAAAATAATGAAAACCAAGTATTTCTGGAATTTCTTGGCTGTTTACAGATGGATTTTGTTCAAACTTGGGACATACCGTTTAAAACTTGATTAATTCGCGGTCTCTATTAGTTCGCGCACCCATTTTATTTTCGAACGCTAATTTTTAAATGTATCCTTTTAATTCGCGGCGTTCAAAAACATGTTTGAAATTGTATCCTATTAATTCGCACGCCAGAATAAAGTGGATAACTCAGAATGTATTGCATGAACATTAAAAATATACATACACACATGTACATGTATAATGTTATGTTATCAGTATTTGGTGTCGCGCAATCGCAGATGATCTTCGTCATCACCGCCTTTCAGTTAGCAAGCAGTTTAGGTTCGGTAAAGATTTGAC